GTGTCCTTCTTTGTCTCTTGTAATAGTCTTTATTTTAAAGTCTATTTTGTCTGATATGAGAATTCCTACTCCAGCTTTCTTTTGATTTCCATTTGCATGGAATATCTTTTTCCATCCCCTCACTTTCACTCTGTATGTGTCCCTAGGTCTGAGGTGGGTCTCTTGTAGACAGCATATATATGGTTCTTGTTTTTGTATCCATTCAGCCAATCTATGTCTTTTGATGGGAGCATTTAATCAATTTACATTTAAGGTAACTATCGATATGTATGTTCCTATTACCATCTTCTTCATTGTTATGGGTTTGTTATTGTAGGTCTTTTCTTTCTCTTGTGTTTCCTGCTAGAGAAGTTCCTATAGCATTTGTTGTAAAGCTGGTTTGGTGGTGCTGAATTCTCTTAGCTTTTGCTTATCTGTAAAGGTTTTAATTTCTCCATCTAATCTGAATGAGATCCTTGCTGGGTAGAGTAATCTTGGTTGTAGGTATTTTCCCTTTCATCACTTTAAATATGTCTTGCCACTCCCTTCTGGCTTGCAGAGTTTCTGCTGAAAGATCAGCTGTTAACCTTATGTGGATTCCCTTGTATGTTATTTGTTGTTTTTCCCTTGCTGCTTTTAATATTTTTTGTTTGTATTTAATTTTTGATAGTTTGATTAATATGTGTCTTGGTGTGTTTCTCCTTGGATTTATCCTGGATGGGATTCTCTGTGCTTCCTGGACTTGACTATTTCCTTTCCCATATTAGGGAAGTTTTCAACTATAATCTCTTCAAATATTTTCTCAGTCCCTTTCTTTTTCTCTTCTTCTTCTGGGAACGCTATAATTCAAATGTTGGTGGGTTTAATGTTGTCCCAGGGGTCTCTTAAGACTGTCCTCAATTCTTTTCATTCTTTTTTCTTTATTCTTCTCTACGGTAGTTATTCCCACTATTTTATCTTCCAGGTCACTTATCCGTTTTTCTGCCTCAGTTATTCTGCTATTGATTCCTTCTAGAGAATTTTTAATTTCATTTATTGTGTTGTTCATCATTGTTTGTTTGCTTTTTTGTTCTTCTAGGTCCTTATTAAATGTTTTTTGTATTTTCTCCATTCTGTTTCCAAGGTTTTGGATTATCTTCACTATCATTACTCTGAATTCTTTTTCAGGTAGACTGCCTATTTCCTCTTCATTTGTTTGGTCTGGTGGGTGTTTACCTTGCTCTTTCATCTGCTGTATGTTTCTCTTTTTATTTTGCTGAATTTACTGAGTTTGGGGTTTCCTTTTCACAGGCTGCAGGTCCGTAGTTCCCTTTGTTTTTGGTGTCTGCCTCCAGTGGCTAAGGTTGGTTCAGTGGGTTGTGTAGGCTCCTGGTGGAGGGGATTCATGCCTGTGTTCTGGTGGATGAGGCTGGATCTTGTCTTTCTGGTGGGCAGGACCACATCTGGTGGTGTGTTTTGGGGTGTCTGTGGCCTTATTATGATTTTAGGCAGCCTCTCTGCTAATGGGACGGGTTGTGTTCCTGTCTTGTCGGTTGTTTGGCACGGGGTGTCAGCACTGTAGCTTGCTGGTTGTTGAATGGAACTGGGTCTTAGCATTGGGATGGAGATCTCTAGGAGAGCTTTCGCCATTTTTATTTTGTGGAGCTGGGACGTCTCTGGTGGACCAATGTCCTGAACTCGACTCTCCCATCTCAGAGGCACAGGCCTGAGACCCGGCCGTAGCACCAAGACCCTGTCAGCCACGTGGCTCAGAAGAAAAGGGAGAAAAAAAAGAAAGAAAGAGAGAAAGAGAGAGAGAGAGAGAGAGAGAGAGAGAGAGAGAGAGAGAGGAAGGAAGAGAGAGAAAGGAAAAAATAAAATAAAAAGAAATAGAGTTATTAAAATAATTTTAATTATTAAAAATTAAAAAGTAATAAAAGAAAGAAAGAAGAGAACAACCAAACCAAAAAACAAATCCACCAATGATAACAAGCGCTAAAAACTGTATTAAAAAAAATCAGACAGAACCCTAGGACAAAGGTAAAAGCAAAGCTATACAGACAAAATCACAGAAAGAAGCATACACACAGACACACTCACAAAAAGTGAAAACTGAAAAAAAAAAAAAATATATATATATATATAAAAGGAAGAGAGCAGCCAAATCAATAAAGAAATCTACCAATGATAAGAAGCTCTAAATACTAAACTAAGATAAACATAAAACCAGAAACATATTAGATGCAGAAAGCAAACCCCAAGTCTACAGTTGCTCCCAAAGTCCACCTCCTCAGTTTGGGATGATTCGCTGTCTATTCAGGTATTCCACAGATGCAGGTACATCAGGTTGACTGTCGAGATTTAATCTGCTGCCCCTGAGGCTTCTGGGAGGGATTTCCCTTTCTCTTCTTTGTTCGCACAGCTCCCGGGGCTCAGCTTTGGATTTGGCCCCGCCTCTGCATGTAGGTCGCCTGAGGGCATTTGTTCTTCACCCAGACAGAAGGGGGTTAAAGGAGTGGCTGATTCAAGGGCTCTGGCTCACTCAGGCTGGGGGGAGGGAGGGGTACGGAATGTGGGGTGAGCCCGGACTCCCTCCCGGCTAGCCGTGGTGCACTAACCCCCTGCAGGCTGTGTTCACACCGCCAACCCCAGTCCTCTCCCTGGGATCCGACCGAAGCCTGAGCCTCAGCTCCCAGCCCCGCCCACCCCGGCGGGTGAGCAGACAGGCCTCTCGGGCTGGTGAGTGCTGGTCGGCACCGATCCTCTGTGCGGGCATCTCTCTGCTTTGCCCTCCGCGCCCCTGTTGCTGCGCTCTCCTCTGCGGCTCCGAAGGTTCCCCCCTCCGCCGCCCGCAGTCTCCACCAGTGAAGGGGCTTCTAGTGTGTGGAAACCTTTCCTCCTTCACGGCACCCTCCCAGAGGTGCAGATCCCGTCCCTATTCTTTTGTCTCTGTTTTTTCTTTTTTCTTTTGCCCTCCCCAGGTATGTGGGGAGTTTCTTGCCTTTTGGGAAGTCTGAGGTCTTCTGCCAGCATTCAGTAGGTGATCTGTAGGAGTTGTTCCACATGTAGATGTATTTCTGGTGTATCTGTGGGGAGGAAGGTGATCTCCACGTCTTACTCCTCTGTGGTCTTGAAGGTCTCCCTCTGCAAAGTACTTTAAAGAATGAACAATTTTACAGGACTTCCCTGGTGGTCCAGTGGTTAAGATTTGCCTTCCAATGCAGGGGGTGTGGGTTCAATCCCTAGTCAGGGAGCTAAGATCCCACATGCCTCGGGGCCCAAAGCACAAAACACAAAACAGAAGCGGTATTGTAACAAATTCAATAAAGACTTTAAAAATGGTCCACATCAAAAAAATCTTTAAAAAATTGTTTAAAAAAAAAGAATGAACAATTTTAGGTCTGGAAAAGTTTTAGACTTCATTTATTCATTCACTCATTCACTCAACAAACATTTCAAAGCTTAAAAAAGAATGATTATTCCAGGCACTGACATTACATCAATGCAGGAAACAAATAACCAAAATAAATAAATAAATGTGTTGTGCTTGTGGAACTTGCTTTGTGGTTAGGCGAAAGAAAACAAATAATGTATGTAGGAAAGGTGTGAGATTGTAGTAGGTAAGAAGCTAATAAGTATAAGGGGGAAAGATAAAACAGAATGCAGGGGTTGGGAACTTGGGACCCTGACTGGTAAACATGAAGGGCTTGGATTCTGCTCCGGGTTTACTGTGCTAAGGAAGCACTCCTTCTGTACTGCACCCTGAGTCCCAGTCCTGTGCTTTGATCAGATGAGAGGTTGTCTTGGACAGGATCAGGGCTTGTTATGGACACAAACACAAATGCAAGAGCAGAATCAGAAGCCAAGGAAGCTTATGCCAGAGACCTTCTGCACAAACTTAGTGAGGGTGGGTGGGTGAATGTCAGGTTGGTGGGAAATGGTGAGAACAGGAGATTCAGGGGTGGGTTTGAATTTCACCCTGGGTAAGACAGTTTTCAGTATTTTATTTATCACGTCTCTTCTTAATATCCCAGAAGTAGAAAGGACTACTTGCCAAGAAAAGCTTGAAAGCCACTGCTGTTCTCTACAACTACTGCCTATCTTATATTTAAATATATTGACAACTCAGTGCTAAAAATGGACATTCATGGGAAAAAATGTCTTGTCTAAAATAATTTTTGTCTTTGAAGGAAAAAAGGCTTAGGAGGTTTACTTATTCTGAAGCTACAGAAACCCCATGGAAATTTAGATTATCTTTTCAACTACCCATGTTAAAAGTGCTGTACTTGTTTTCTACATGAAGTCTTATTCTTTGATGCACTTACTTGAGTTTTCAACTATTGCTTTCAACCTTCTCAAATCTGTTATATAAAAACCATAAGTTTATGCAGTTACTTCAGGGAGTTATTTTATTTCCGTCCACATAAGTTTAGCTTACTTATTTTTCTTTATTTTTTTCTATCTTATTTGGTCAATTAGACAAAGCACTGTTGCCATATTCTTGTCAGTTTACTGTATTCTGTTAATTGTTTAGTATGCACTTTCACACAAAGAGGAATATAATGACCCTTCCCCATCAGGCATATACACAGTCTGTTTTTTGGTACCAGTTTGTGTATGTAGTTTCTCCAGCCATGCAGCATCCAAAGGGGCCCTTGCTTGGTCCCCAGCATAGAACAACTCAGCCAGATAATGGAAATACATCATTATCTACTGTTTGGAGCCCTAAGTATGAATTTCTACAATGGGCAGCACTGCTACACATTGGAGGAAATGCCTTCTTAAGGGCTCACCAATCTTAATTTTAAAAATTGACATTTTCAAAGTCAACTGCTATTAATTATTGCATGTCACAGAGAAATTCTAAACAGATAAGTTTCTTGGGAGGACAATCTATTTGGTAGAAAAATTCCAGGGGTCTATTTTAATTCTATTTGGTGTCTATTCACATGCTGTTCATAACTTGTATAGTTTCCTAACTAAAGGCTGTGTATTTAATTTTTTGAGATTAAAAAGCACGATATATGATTTTCTCTTTTCAGGGGGGAGCGGAACATAACATTCCAGTTGTCATTTCAAAAATCTCCAAGGAGCAAAGAGGTAAAGTGTTAAGAGGGCTGTCCTGTGAGTCCCTGTCACTGAGGAAAAAGACAATAGTTAGAATCATAAATTCGTATATGGGACTGACCAGCCAGGGTCCCATGACCAGGCAACAGGTGACGGTTCTGACTGCCGAGTCCAAGTCCTTTACCCGCCCGGCGGGCAGAGAGGGAAGACAGTAGAGCAGGTGGCTGTGTGTGAGCCAGAGACTGCATGACTGCACAGTGTCTCATTAACAAGGAAGCGTAGAAACGCTCTGATGCTTGCAAGTCTCATCAGTTACAGGCAACTCCAGTTATATATATTTTTTTTCAGTTTTCATATGCAATTTAACTCAGCCCTTCATATGAAATTTCATCCAGGAAAAACTCTGAGGATGTAAACCAACTGTTACAATGACCGAAATCACTGAGACAGCCTAGTGTTTAAAAAGAAACGGGGAGCTGGTTCCATTGCTGACGGAGTGAATGTCTAGCTCTAAACGTTTTCATAGATGCCTTAATGCTCTCATAAGAACGTGAGAACATTTAGTCCTCCATCCAGAAGTGTGGCCAATTTCTGGCAACTAAGATCTGAAATGATAGAATGAAATGGAACTATCGCAGCATGTGTTCCAATTCAGCTCATGTTTCAATCATAGGAGTTGAATCGTGATTGTTTTTGCATTTCTATTACCTGTGGATCTTTTAAGATGCTACCCATATAAAACATTTCATTTTTTCCCTTTTATCAGTTTTGACTTTATTTAATTAAACACTCTTTCATCTGTGTGAAGGAAGTAGACGATGCCTAATCGATTGTCCTTCTCCATTCACAGCCGAGCTCTCAGGACTGCTCTTCATTGGGGACGCAATTCTGCAGGTATACACCTTACCATTATTTTCCATGTGCAACCAAAACATAAGGTCAATTCACAATATACCACATGAAGCCGTGTCTCTCTTTCCATTGCAGATAAACGGGATTAATGTGAGGAAATGCAGACATGAAGAAGTGGTGAGTTTTCTTTACTTTTTCCTAATATCATAATTTTCCCCATGTGCAAATGAGGATTTAGGGCATTGCTAAAAACTTTTCATTTTATTCATTAGGAAATATGACGCTGGTCCAGTGTGCTGTCAGACTTTCGGATAATCTCTTACTTGGTATTTGGGGGGTTTTTTTTGTATATTTGAAACAGATCAGTGAGTATCACTAAGAAAAAAATGTAATTCAAAGAAATACAGCTGTTTGCTATGTTTTCCAGTTTTTCAGTTAATTCCTACTAGTCCGTGCCCACTAAGTGCATCTCTAGGTGAAATATATCTCTAAATCTTTGCAAATGTTTAGAAGCTTGTAAACAAAAAAATTTATGTTTGTAAAATTTCATCTAGTAGCTGGGGCAATGGGAAGAGCATGTAAAGACCGTGTGTGTGTGTGAGAGAGAGAGAGAGACAGACAGAGAGACAGAGAGACAGAGACAGAGACGACATTTAGAGACACTTCATCTCAAGGTTCACAGGTTCAGCTCACTAGACAGCTACACAGAAAGATCAGCAGTGTTTACTGTGGTATTTTCTTGGATGTTGGTAATGTGCAGATGTGAAGCCCGGCTTCAGATCCTTTAATTCACTCAGCTTATGTGACCCAGGAATTTGTATGTTAACAACGGGCCCAGCAGTTTCACTGTCAGCGGCCTCTAATCTACACCTTGGGAGAAGTTGGAAGGTTGAGCAGCTTCTGTGGAGCTGAGGGAGGACATAAAAAATGATGCAGAAAAGTGATGCAGGCCGGTGTCAGGCGTTTGGGAAATGTTTTTCACAGCTAATTTAATAACATTCATAGAACCTTCACTGAATCCCCATATCAGCTCACAAGGGAAAGGAGAGAGGAGAAAATACGCCTAAAGCTTTGTACTCAAGGGTCAAACAAAATGAAAATACCGTAAACCTTCGGCTTCTCGCGGCTCCAGTTCACTTGGTTTGTGAAGACGTTGCCCTGCTACAATTTGGAGAAAACTCTTCTGATATATTTACATATTTCAGGCCTCAAAGAGGCAACTCCGAGCATCTGAAAAGCCCCAGCTCCACAAGCAGAGCTGTTGGAGAGCGTTCTCCGTGGGACAGGCAAGCTGTGTCCATATTCATCGCTCGGTTTTTCTCTCAAAAATCCTACTTGATTTTTGAAAAATCACCCCGTGGTGAACCTCGCATAAAATATACGTACTTCAAATCTCAGGCTTATGTCAAATAGGTACAGGGAAAAGCAATATGTGAGAACAGAGTTTTAGACAAACGAGAAGCAGCACATCACAGACTACTCAGTTCTGAATATACACAGATTTCAAATACAGCCCTGTAAGCAAAGATATTTTAACTTTAGTCTTTTTTCAAAAGTACAACGTGATTTTAAATTCATTGTCCAGGGAGCAAAAACAAGTGCATTCTCTTCCAAAACCGCACACTGTTCCATGGAGCCCTGTTTGCAGTTTGCCCTTCAGAGGCAAGCAGCAGGCTTACACTTACTGTGATGAGGCTTTGATTAAACAGATCCACGCGGCATGAAAGATGAGAATGCGCTAATCAGGCCACTTCCCAATGGTGTTCCTTCTGTTTCAAAGAGGGATTTAAGATTGCATCGCAAATTGCACGTGGCCCTTCACAACAAACTTTTACTCTTTTGAGAGGTTTAACCATATCAGCTTTGAAGTGTAGGTAGTGATATTCTTATTTGCTTCCAATCTTTCACTTTGCAGCAGTGATTAGGTGCTTTTGTCTTCACTGCTAATTATCTAAGCAAACAGACTGACTTACACCTCAGTGGGACTGAGATATTAATTAAATGTTTAAGAAGGGACTTACATGGGCAGAAAAGGTCACCGCAAGCTCAGAGGTACGGATGGTTTTAAGTACCATGCTGACGGGCCGCATTCCTCATTCCAGGTCAGGGCCCCCAGAGGCCCAAATTCAGAAAGCAGCCTCGGAACGGAAGGTATGACGATAGGCTGTGCCTGTGACTTTCTCTTATTCGCCTACACTATTCACCGCCACGGTTAGAAGTCTGCGTCATTCGCAGATGCCGTCAAGGGTGTGTAGCCGTAGCTTCCGTGCTGGAGGTAGCCACAGGCTTGATCTGTGTGGCCGGGGATCCCTGCTCCCCGCTTGGGCACTCAGTGGACTGTGGCTAACGGATTCTTTAGCTAAATAACTAGAATCAGGCCATCCCAGCACCTGCATCTGCATGTTTCTCATGTCTGGGTGTGCGACCATCAATTCTGGGCTTCACCCACACCACCCCGGGCATTCTTCTTGCTGGAAGATTGCTAAGGAAGAAGAGCTACCAGTTTCCTGACCAAGAAAGATTAGAGCAGGTGCCAGCTTTGAGATCGAAAAAGAGTTTCATCTGTTTTTTGTTTTTATGGTCTTATTGATAGAAAACATTAGATAATTAGAACTGCAAACAACCATCACCCTGATGCTGAATTTGTGACTTTGAACCAAACTCTAAAATTGTGTAATTTTTACAGGAGCAGAATGAATAGCTTTAACTTACATAAGTTAAGTTACATACTTTAACTTATGTAAGTTAAAATGATATATTCATGCAATGAAAACAAATTTTGATAAAAGGAATAAAAAATGTAGTTTAATAACATTTTAGTTGTTACGATATATGCTTAACTTAATTCAAAATTTCCATTGGAATTTTCTTTTTTAGCTTAGATGAATCAGAAAATAAAATTACAAGAGTTACATTATCTCATCTGAAAATGAGGCATTATTTTATATATTGGAACCATTTCAGAGATTTTATGAGTCATCAGGGAACATATTTAGATGCGATTTGGAAACATAAAGCATTTGAGATCTTGGCAAAATGCTTAAATTGTCATTGAGTAACATATCATGTTTCGCCTAACTGCTAACAATTCTCAATTGGTTTTCAGTTTGGAAATAGGTTTTGAGGTCTAATGGATTAAGATTTTCCTCCAGAATTCTGACTGCAGTGGACTCTTTTTCTTTGAATTAACTACCACAGAGGAAAGCCATATATGAAATCACTTGACTTTTAAAATTTCCCACCGGTTTGGGAAGGGTGTTAAATATTGTTTATTGTATCTCTGATTTTAAAAAGTAATAAAATATCTAGAACTTGCCTAATTTACATCCTTAGATTCTCATTAACACCCTTAGGAGTTCCTTCTCTGCTGGACCCACAGGTCTGTCCCCTAATTAGGCTATGCATAGAGACAGCACAGGTGACAAGTTCCTTAACTGCATGCTACTGATTCCCATCACATCCCTATTTGTTGTCTTACACACACTAAAGACCCGCTTCGCAGCGCCCTCGATAATGAGATGAAGCCAGGCCAGATAAACCCTTCCTTAGTGGAGCACGAGCCAGTTCCCACCCAGAGGAATCAGCAGGGAGGACACACAGCAGAAAGCCCAGGTGGACCCTGTTACAGAGAAGAGGAAGTGACCGGCGGGTAGAGACAGGCGTGTGGACATCACCACACCCCAGCAAAGACGCTTCCCAGTCACTCTCCTGCCCCGCAGATCAGAGTGAGGAGGGGAAGTGTGTGTCATCCAGATTCTGCAGTTCTCACAGAGCTGACATTTTACTTTCAGAATGATCAGACAGAAAGGCAAGGAGAAGAAAGTGTCTGCGGGTGGAAATGTGAACACTAAGTTAGAATTTGTGTTACAGGTATTTTCCAGCTGTCTGATGATCATAAAGGGCCTGCATTTCTCTGACTCTCATTTTTTATCTGAAAGATGAAGCGTTTGAACTCGATCACTCTTTATGTGTTTGGCAGCCCGCTCATGAGAAAGTGCCTGGAGACGTGTGTGTTTTTTCTCTTTTTCAATTTTAATAGACTTTATCTTCTAGAAGCCTTTTAGGTTTACAAAATAATTGTGCAGAAAGTTTTCTCCCCATCTTGTCTCACACAGAGTATCCCCTCTTACTAAGATCACAGGCTGCTGTCGACATTTCTTACAGTTGGTGAACCCCTACTGATGCATCACTTGTTTTTTAAACATCTTTATTGGAGCATAATTGCTTCCCACTAGCTATCTGTTTTACAGTTGGTAGTGTATATATGCCCATGCCACTCGCTCACTTCGTCCCAGCTTACCCTTCCCCCTCCCCGTGTCCTCAAGTCCATTCTCTACATCTCTGTCTTTATTCCCGTCTTGTCCCTAGCTTCTTCAGAACCATGTTTTTTTTTTTTTTTAGATTCCATGTATGTGTTAGCCTACGGTATTTGTTTTTCTCTTTCTGACTTACTTCACTCTGTATGACAGTCTCTAGGTCCAGCCACCTCACTACAAATAACTCAATTTCGTTTCTTTTTATGGCTGAGTAATATTCCATTGTATATATGTGCCACATCCTCTTTATCCATTCATCTGTTGATGGACACTTAGGTTGCTTCCGTGTCCTGGCTATTGTAAATAGAGCTGCAATGAACATTTTGGTGCACGACTCTTTTTGAATTATGGTTTTCTCAGGGTATATGCCCAGTAGTGGGATTGCTGGGTTGTATGGTAATTCTATTTTTAGTTTCCACACCCAGTTTTCCCCATTATTATCATCCCACATTGTTACATTTCTTACAAGGAATAAACCAGTACTGATACATTATTATTAACAAAAGTCTATACTTTATTCAAATTTCTTTAGTTTTTACCTAATACTTCTTTTCCTGTCCCAGGATCACATCTGGATTACACATCACATGTAATTATGTCTCCTTTGGCTCCTCTGGGCTGTAATAGTTTCTAGGACTTCTTTTTTGATAACTGTTACACTTTTGAGGGGGACTGGTCAGGTATTTTTCAGGTTGAATCTCGATTTGGAATTTTCCGATTTTTTTTGTGATTAGACTGGGCTTATGTGTGTTGGGAGGAAGATGACAGAGGCACAGTGCTGGTCTTATCATGTCTTATCACGTGTACCTGCCGTCATGACTGCATCACCAGCACCTGGATGAGGAAGAGTCTGACAGGTTT